TTGCTCAAGATGAATACCCAGCAGGTTTCGTTGAGAAGAACGTGAAACCAACGCACTTCGGTACCAAAGTGAACGCTATATTTGACTCGAAAGCGCCATAGTTGAACACCTCGTCAACACCTGTCACAGCATCTCAACTGACTCGTAGTTCAGTCATTTACAAAAAAAACAAAACCGTGCTAAATGCAGTGTGTTTCTAGCTTATTCATACTGTAGAACCTTTCTTCATATGCATCGAAAAGCCGAAGCTATGTTTTCAAAAGAAATTAATATAATCCCTAAATCTGAGGCTGATTTAGTTTAATTTCGCTTCTTAGATTTTGTTTTGCTTTTGTTTTTTTCATTCCTTTCATTTTCGGTTATAAAAGCCATTATTCGACTTTGTTTCCATACTCAGACCACTCACACCTTTATTCGTTGAAAACTATTTTATGATGCTGTTCAGTTTTGTTCCTAAACCCCTTGTAATCCATATTCACATCTTTTAACCTTCATATCAAGTTTAAGGTTAATACCAGCTTCAATCTTCTTCGTCAGTAAGTGGAATTAAATACTAACTGTACCTATGTAAACACGTGTATATATATGTGATTGCACAGCTGGTTGTGACAATAATATTCGCTGAAATTTTTCTACTTTTCTCTCTAATATCCTGATGAGTATTTTTCCGCTATTTGAAAATGGATGTCTTGATGGTTCCAGTATTCCTGTCGCCCTAAATGCATGTTATTATTCCTATGTAAGCTTGAAATGTCAAAACATTCCTGAAGCTCACGAAAGTAGAAACTAATAAAGATAAACAAAGATTATCCATCCTCTTGCTTATCCTCATCTTGTTTCTAAAGTCCCACACAAAATAGATTTCTCATCTCCACATAACTAACATCCAGAAAATAGTTGAATAGGTTGAGGAGTGTGATTTTCCATCTGGTGTTTTTAACACAATGTGAATTAAGGTTCCACAGTAATTATAAACTGGATTTGTAGTACATAGGATATCAGTTTACACTGTTTTCCAATGTAATTCATTGCTATTGTAAATATTGCTTGGGTTTCACTAGCACACCACTATTTCACTATTTTCAATGCAGTTATTTTAAACTTGTTTTACAACTGTCCCTCAACTTTATTTTACCTTACAGACGATTTTCTCCGCGTAGTCTGAAGAATTATGACCAACGTTTTCTTACTCATTTGTATTCAGCTCTAAAACCTCTTGTGTGATATCACCTTTAATAGCTCCTCAGTTCGTAATCAAAACAAGCAAAAGCGAGATCACTTTCCGGGAGTATGTATGGATGTATTGCAGAAAAATGCATAAATCTTCACCTTATGGCCAATTCAAATAAACATGTAACATGGAAAATATCCTGAAATAGATCAAGATCAGAAGTGAACCAAAATGTAGTTTACTGAAGTTACGGTAAGCATCTCGGTCAGTAAGTTTAAGCTTAGACAAGAATAGCTTGCCAAACACTTACCCATCTTCGACCAAACTATCCGGGATGATGAACATCAAAAGACAATTGAAAGGCTGATAAGCTACATTGTTTATCATGATCAGAATATTTGCATTAAAGTTAAAAAGCTCTTTTACTACATTTCAGCAGAACTCATTAACCCGTTTGACGAATAAATCTTTTCAGCACATGCTGCGGTTCTCAATCTGTCCTCATTCGCAATATCTGTATTCGTACAAGTGAAATGCGCTACAATTCCACATTTAAGTCCATCGATAAGTTTATAACTTTTATAATGTATGTTTTGCCTATGTATTCTGAACACAAGTGTCTTTGAAAAAGTTACACGATGTCCATATTTCCACATGGTTATCAGAACAGTTTTTCAATTCATAATCCTAATGTGCTATAAGGCTATAGGTTAATAAGCACAGTCGTAAAATAAAAGTGAAGACTGCTGAAATCTACTAGGAAACTTCAGTGTAAAGAGTGACACCTTTTATAGCGTTAAGGAAAAAAGACAGCTTGAAACTGAATACGCGTAAACACCCAGACTTTAGGGAGTATAAGAATAGTTCAGCATGAAAGTCAATTTCAGTTTGACTACTCCCGAAGACACAACATCTGATGGATGGCGTCAATTCCACCTGAATGACATACCTCAGGGTAAAACATCGCCCTAATTAAATATCAAGAAATGGCTGAGTTGAATGTCTTCAATTACCGATCTTGAAAATTCTTTTTCAAGAATAGCAGATATCACATTTGAAATGTCAATCAAACAGTATTCAGTGAATAAACAACACTGGTCACATTTTCCTTTAAAAAAGTTTTAGAAATCTCATCTCTGACTTTCAAATAACTATTCTAGAAAGAATTTTGGGGATCTGTGGTCATTTGTATAAAAACCCACATTTCCATGAGTTATTTTTTGTGGTTTCGCAACACGATTTTCTATGCGTCACTGGCGCAGTGGTTGGGACACTTTCCGTACATGCACTTGGCCGGGACTTCGATTCCCGGCTGACGCACGCCTGATTTCAATAGTTGGCTGATTTAACGTGCTGAAAATTCTGCACTTCTGCCAGAAATACGGTGTGAAGTCAAGCTGGGAATAAGAAAAATTCGGAAAAATATATAATAATTGACAGTTTAAATACAGTCCATAATTGGTAAAAATGTTCTTACCTTTTTGTTGCCTATTAAGAAATAAAAAAATACCAAACACATTATGTTAATGCTTTTCAAATGATCGCTTGCCCTTAGTTATTCATGTATGAGGAAATATTTTTCATATAGATATCGTCTGTGCCTATGCAGTGGAAGTCTGCAATCAAGAGGTGAATTCTCAACGCTGTTAATCTCTGCTATCTAGTTTGTTCTGTGTTTATTCGTTATAGTCTTTCTTCTCTTAAACAATAGCAATAATTATGTAGTGAGATGTTAACAATAACACAAATATTGGTGACATAAATATGCATCCTATAAAGAGTTTGAAGCTAGTTGAAGTGCATTCACTTGTAGCTAGAAGAACTTCTCTATGCATATAAAAATTTGCAATACACTATACAAAACGGGAAAAAAGGCTTTCTTGATTTGCATAGAAACCGTCTTCCTATGACAAAACTAGAATGACTACATTACTATTTCAACACAGGATTTTGTGGATGTACTGTGCGTCGGTGGCACAGTGGTTAGAACTCTCATCAACCATGCACTTGGTCCGAGGTTCGATCCCCTGCCGACGCACACCTGATATCTATGGTTGGCTTGCAAAATTAGGGCTACCGATATCCATGCTGAAAATTCCATACTTGTACCAAAAATACAGTGTGGAATCAAGCTGCAATCAAAAAAATAAAACTTTAGATTATAATTATTCGTATAGGGCTGCTTGCAATCGACGGAAGGCCTTTACTTGTCAATTAGTACGAATAAGCAAGTTTTGTATGCATTCATCTTTTGATGAAACTATCTTCCCCACATGGATTAATCTAAATATACTCAATTGACTAACATTCATGTACTACTTTAAAGGTCCTCTAGAATCCAGAATACATTGTTATTAATAAAAAGAATGTTCCAAAAACAGCCTCATGACTTACGTTCACACTTTTCTGTTTACAGAATAAATTTTTATTTCAAAGTGAAAAGTGTGCAAGATATAAACGAAAGCCTGGTAGTAAATGTGCTAGCATACGACTAATTTTATTAAATTGTTTTTGGGACTATTGCTAGCAACAAGTAAATGGAAATCTTGAGTATCGAGTACAAAGAATTTCTTATTGGCTTTTCTCCGTTGTTAAGTCTGTGTTGATACGTAAAAGAAATAAACTTATATTGTATACAACGTAACACTTCAATGTTCAATGAGACGCAATAATTTTTGACTTCAACAATATCTTTATACATCATGATGAATCACGGCAGCACAAAACAAACAGTTCCATTTACACTTCTGAGATCAAAGCTATTTGTAATCGGCGACTGAGGGGGAATGACTTGCTGCTAAGCTACCTAAATACGTTGGGATGAATATGCCCAAATACTAATTCATTCATAATCCTGTCGTTTCAACGACTTGATAACATGCCTTAAATTTCAAACTTATCATGAATAAAGCCGAACATTCAATAATGGTGGGTGGAAACTGACACATATCAGATGAGTATAAATTATTCGCATGCTCAGTGTCATAAGAACTTAGTAAGTGTAATATCTACTGTTTACAAACTGCCGGGCAGTCTCACCCTACATGTTTCCAGAAGCAGATATATCCATATAAATATCTATATGCATATATGTATTGTAGTAAAATCGTTGATTAAAAACAGTGAAGCACAGAATTTAATTGAGCTTCACCCCGTCCACAATTGTTAAAACATAACACGATTTCATTGCTATTTAGTATAGACGATGAAATATGTCTCCATCATCATGCATTGTAATTTCGAAAATGAAATAAGGCAGTTGTGAATAAATGAGGATAAATGGAGGCAGACACCCATCTGAAAATATGATGGATGGTGTGAATCACCAGGTGAATTCAGCTCTTTTTATTTATTTATTCCTTGAAAGATTATGAAAACTATTCAAAATGGTCGACCGAATATCAAGTAGCATAATACTCACGTAATTCTTTAATGGACGAAAACATAAGCATAAATTATGGTTATATCCTATTTCACACAAACCCTTGTTTGTACTTCATTGTAATTCATAAACGGGAATGAATGCGTGAGTATAGTTGTTGAATTTTTCTACTAAAAGTGATATGTGAGGAACGTGAAAGATGTGGACGTTCACTGTAATATATACGCACCTAAAGTGATACATGCAATAAACTGAATCCTAATGTCTCTCTGTTCTGGTGATTATTCTTGCCCTCTTTTATTTGTTATGACAAACACTTCTCATTTGTATAGAGCGTTAAATCTATCTTCACACCATATTTTAAAACTGGAAAGGAACTTACCCTTCTCTACATTGGAAACGAAAGTTCAAATTCAAGAATAAGTCTTACATCGGTAAGTTTATAATGTGTAGTGTATAAGTAATTCTCTTAAGTCGAATATGCACATCATAATGCATCAATAAAGTAACTGTTATATACTTTCCTTTGTTTTCTGTACTGCAGCAACAATACTCAAGGTCGGTATGATTGAAACTTCGCCAGTCACGAACTGATTTCGTATTACATATATGTATTGCATTAATCATTCAGAAGCACTCTGACATATTTCTATGACACTTGCTTTCCTATGGTGGTTTTGTAAATATGACTGAAATCAGTCAATAATACTACTACTATGTTAACTCCAAAATTTGACCTGATGTCTATTTTGTATTACTGGCTAAACTCTAAGCTGATATGTAGAACTATCTCATAAACTGTATATGATCTTTTCATTAATTTTCTGGAATTTGTGTTGGTTATTGTATCACTGATAGTCGTAAACACTGTAGTTACTGTGCTACAGTTACCACACATAGCCGTACTGACAATTATGTTGTGATTATTCAATCCATTTTCCATGTATAATCTCTATCCGAACAGAGACCCATAGTTTCTCGCGTGTAGATTTGTCCATAATTTGACCGATACCGAAAATGACTACAAAACGACTTCAGTTAGAGAACCGATGAATAGCAGAGAGTACTAAACTTAAGTTACGTCCTAGTTTGAAACTACTCGGCATTACTCATCCCTGATCTCATCAAGCAGTTGACCCACAACCTCCAAATTTCAAAGTAGGCGTGTTGATCATTTACCGATTGTGATAGAATTCAATAATCCATCAATATGTTATATGTAGAGCAAACACCAGATAGTGCAAATGACACCTACAAAATTTATTGAATTTTAAGGTTCATCCATGTTTATTATCGAGTTTTGCCTGATACTGCCTACTAAGGTGCTGGAGACCCTCCAGTTTCTGTTTCAAAATGTCGAGACAAATTTTATCTTCCTCTTGAAATGGTGCAAATAATTCATTATATTAGTAACATCTTGTGGATGAAAAGCACTGCAAAAAATATATTTCATATGATCACGTTGAAACGCTGGATAATGACTTACCGACATGCTCTGATTTTGTAAAGTAAAAAAAGAAGTGTTTGAAAGATCCTCGTGGCACAATAATGAAAATATTGTACACGATTTTACCGTTAACTACGCCATATGAACCAAGACGAAAGGTGTTTTGTTTAAAAATAAGATATCCAATGGTTAAGTCAACAAATGACATTAATTTCGATGATGTTCTCATTCAGAGGAAGCTGAAGGATGCGACTTATGATAGGAAGTAGTGTAGATTTCTTCTGATCATGTTCAACCTACACATTTTCAGTAGAATAAAGCAAGGATTTGTTAGCGAATTGAACCCGAAGCACAAGATCTACTCAGAACTAGGATTATTGAAGTGAAGACTTTTTCTTTAATATTACAGGTGTTAATCCATTAATTTTAGCTTACTACAACCACTAGAAGCTAATCAGAACCTCTTCAGAAACTATAGGATTATAAGATGTAATAATACTCGCATTGTTATTGCAGTCCATGTAAAATGTACTGTCATTTAGAACATGAGTCAATATGCGAGTTGTCAATTAAGTAACCTGATCGATTACTTGTATTCAACAAAAATAAAAACCAATACTTAAAAATAAAAACTTCAGAAGATAGGTTATATTCACTGGTGTAGGAGAAATATACACACTACAAATAGGTCACGCTGAGTGGAGTTTCCAGGGACTAGAATTAAACAGTGTGGTCAAATGGTGATCTGCAAATCGAATAATGTAGACTAGATAAGCCTTGTGTCATCCATCTGATTTAAATAAGTCAAAAGAGTTAGTTCATCAGGCGTCTAACTCTGAGTGACGTCAAAAGCGTCAAAAAGACAACATTAGAACCATTTTAGAAGGGATCCAGAGTGAGAAATTAACAAAGTTGAAATGCACAGAATGAGGAGCGAGCAGTCGGAATTATACATGACCTAAGAAAGTATGCCGAATAAGTGAAACGGGTAGAGCAATAAACTTTTAATCCTACGACGAAAGTTATTAAGGACAAAATAAAATGTCAACATATTAACTGAGGTGCGATCTCATGAGAATGGACTCATGATATAGTAAATCATACCACTTCTCGAATAAGAAAAGAGTCCACAGCTAGAAAATTTAAGTAAATTTCACTGCAGTCACACTGCATGTTTCATAGTCAAAATTACAACATTGGCGAGTGAAGTGATTGAAGTAACTGAAAATGTAATACTACTCTTTAATAGTAAAGCAGTGTCTCAAAAAGGATGGTTTTATATCCTTCAACTAGGAATCTCATGAAACTATAATAAAATTCCCCAATCTATTTGGTTGATTACGAAAAGTATTGAAATAGCATGAGCAAGCTCATCAATAAAACGACTTACCATAAATCTCTGAAAAATAATGAACACATAAATTTAAATGTATTATGAAAGCAACACTTGTGATATAAAATATTTGGCATCAAACAAAGATTAACCAATAAATATACAAAATATTCTCAGTAGTTTAACATAATTACAGAGAAAATCTATATGTGTGAATCTCTACCCATAAATTTGAAGAACTTAAGTTTCAATGAATAAGAAAAATGTTTAGCTGTTCTGATATGTTGAAATAACTATATGGTGACAAAAATTTAGATTAATTTTTCTAAATGTGTGCTCTCATGTAAACAGGTTAAAATTAAGTGCAAATATATCTATTTAACATGGAAATTATTTCACGGGGATCATTGGAAATAAAAATGCTCCATCTGATGCCTGTTGTGTGATTAATGTTGCAAGATTTGATGATAGCATTTTCACCATGCTTATAATAAGAATTATTAAGTAGAAATTATCTCTGAAAATATCACCTAATGAACAAAATGTGTCATTCAGTAATCACTAAATACTTTCACAGTAAGGAACTATGTTCACGTGTATGAATTCGTAACACCAAAGAGATCCTATGTGGTCCTATCACACATAAATTGACCTATTAATCACTTCCTAATATCTAGACACACAACGACCTCATTTCAAGTAAGATGAAAATGTTAGTTCTTTGGAAAAGCATTTCCTACAATAAAATCAGGATGGTGTTTACTGTGCAATACTCACCGTGATCTGTATGAATGCGGAAAACATTCTTGGTTTCATTACACAACTAAGCTCAATATTTTACAATTGTGGGACATATTTAAAAATGAACTTCTTTTTTATGCCTTAGAGTACATGTCAAAACAGAAACAAACGGAAAGTTCTGATTCTCAGAAGTTACCGTTTCCAAAACAATAAGACCCATCTAGTTGTTAAGTATAGTATAGTTGATTTGATCTCATTATTACATAGCATTTAATCGTAATACTTAGAGCTTGGAATCATTGTAAAAATAAAACATTTCAACGAATACAATTACACAATTAACTTCACTACAACTGCTTCGAAGCTTCAATATCTTCAAAGTGTAAAAAACGTTCTAACAGAAGTACATTGGGGCTTATTTTATCTGTCTCAGAATAATCCGCTAAAATCCTCGAAGAGGTCGAAATGCTGAGAAGAGTCAATTTAAGCACTACACAAAATAATATGATAAAAAATAATTCAATAATTAATTGGCATTAATCAAAACCTCATGTTTTAAAAGTAGTGCAAAACAGATATTTTCCGTCCAGATTTAATTGAAGTCCATAGAGTATATGGAAATTCATAAATCTTTCAACTTCTGTCATTTTCTACCGGAGTTTAACTACGGAAAATAGATGAATGTATAGACAAGAAATTCAGTGGTAAGAGACGATTACTGATGTTCTGGTGTGTGGTGTGGAAAACTTATACACTGATGTGAAGCTCCGATTTTGTCTTCAATACAGCCAGCCACTCAAAACAGGCTTTACCTTCACGTCAGATTATGTGCATTAAATGCTAAACGGTGTAATCCATACACGTAGCAATATGCACAACACATCACAATTTCTCAAATGATAAGAGACTTATACGCAGATTAGTATAGCATACTTGACTGATCTACAAATTAACGCTTCACTCTACATGAATTATTGTAATCTAGTTACTTTTTTTCAAAGGATTTCGAACCAGATATGATAACAAAGTAATAACTGGGATGATATATGCAATGAAACGCAATAGTTGCATTTTAAAAACACATCTGCCTGTAATTTTGATTAGCCGAGGAAGTTCTTGGTAGTGGGAAAGCAGAATTGAAGTGAAATTACAGTGCACAAGAAAGAATTCACAGAAATGCATACATAATAACCGAATTTAACTGACTAGTATATTAGTGGTAAAAATATGTTCACTTACAGTTCCCTGTGATAGCAAAACAATAGTCGCTAGATATTGATTTCACTTAACATAATTCAGCTAAACTTCTAACAAGCAAACTAAAAGATTAAGCCTCCCAAGACATTGTAATTAACTGGGTGTGTTTCTCCGCATGGGTAAAAATGATTGTTCCACATATATCCAGATATGTTGGGAGGCTACAATGGAATATGTAAATGTGTCTGTACAATCAGCCAGAGAACATTCGTCTTAACAATTTAGGAAAAAATTTCCCATAATGATATATTTTTATATTCGCATGGAATTTCATCATTCATTGTGAAGTACAGAATATACAAATATAAACCCTCAAGCCTCATCCTAATTATTTTAAAACTATTTGCCAGTAAACTTACGAGCTTTATCTGCATTACAAAAAATGTAAAATGTTCTCAGTCGGAGAGAGTTAGAGAAAAGAAAATGAAAATCAGATCCGACGTTCAGCAAGAGCAGGTTGTTTTTTCAAGTATTTATTCCAGGTGCACTCTCAAACGTTAGTCAGACGCCTATAATTCAACTGTAAAAGGTGAGCTAAAAACTACCTTGTTTTTTGGACAAGCGCAGCAACAAATACTGAAAAATATTATGCGGACATATTATCCAATGTCTTCAGAAATGTACACTTATTTCGTCAGGTTTAATGGATCACACGGCTGTTTTTTGGTAAGAAAGTGAATGAAACTATTTAGAAATTGTATTTGTTACGAAGAGAGAATATAAACCATGTTTTCATGAGATGGCAAACTTTTTGAAAGCTAAGGATCTTTACCACTGCCACTCAAGCATTCAGAACAGAAGAATATTTTACGTAACGTCTCATGGGAGCATTGTAAACAGAATAAACACTCATTAACTTCCAATAACTTAAGACTGCTTAAGTATAGAAAAAAGTGTCTGGAATTAACGTTACAACTATTAGAGCCGCTAGACGTAGCATAGTTTCCATATTCTACAACAAAATATTTAAACGTGAAGCCACTGGATTTCTTGCGTTTAAAAAATTTGTATAAAGGCGGTGGGTCAAACCATATAAATATTTCTATGTATAACCACGCATGTGAAGTACTTAAATGAAGGTTATCCGTGAAACTCATAAAATAACACCAACAGATTTATTCAAGACTGCTGTCACTAAGCCAATGGACCATTTCGGAACAAAACCTTATATTATTGTTGGTTTGCTGTTACGTGCAAGATCCTACAATGTCGACTGACCGTTAACAAGGCTACATGAACTCCGTTAAACAGAAATGCATAAGTTTTATCAACATTCACTTTCTCATTGATGCGAAAACTGTTCATTTGGAGGAAACGACTTACCATACGCTTCTTTAGACGGAAATAATTTTGAATGAAAACAACTAGCATATGATCCAATGAATAGAAACACAAACATTCATGTTTACATATATATATATATGTTTGTTTAAAGATACGTGCAAAACTTTATGTTATTAACAAGATAACACCACTGAAGTGGAAAAACTAGAGTTCTGTAATCTTATTTTCATGCATATGAAGGAAGCCTCTGACTACAGACGTTTATAAGAACGAAACTCGAAGTAACTATTTAGAGCGCAAAATAATTTAACCATTAAGTCACTATTGTTTACTAACTAACAAGTAGTGAAAAATCTTCGGACAGCGTATAGTTCTCAAGACCAACGCTACTCACTGTGAACCATTAAGTTGTAAGCAAAGATAAAAGGTAGCGCTTTTAATACTTACTAACTTCCTCTAATATTCAAAAATCAACAAAAATGTAGATCATAAAATTTAATAAGTTCGTTTGAAATTGTTTGAACACATTTTCTAAAGCGATAAAAATGTAGTGACACTACAACAGTGAGAATGGAAAATTAATGAATGAAACATGACTGAAAATAGATTTTCAAAGAGCAAAAGAAAATTAAAATCAATTACAAAATGACGATCAACATTAGTGTCAACAAAGTGGTAAATTTAAGATTCATTAATGACCTTGCACGCATCACTGTCAAAGATATTTTGCAATAATTCCTCTGAAAAACTACCAGTTTATTCTCTCATCTATTTTACCTTGACGAACATAAAATATATCGAAATTTATGCATCCATCAAATTTTCAATTATTCATAACATCTCTTCACTGAGGCTTTTCATATTTGATCCTTAGCTACTTCTATTTCAATTCAACTCTGAATGAATTCAAAATTCATGTTTCCGCTATGGTGTCACGAAATGATGAGTTTGAAATCGTATTTAAACGATATGTTCAGTATTTCTTGAGACTAACACAAACAGTGGTGTTGAACTTGATAAGATACCATATTTTATACTCCCAATGTGAATTAGACAAACTACTCATTATATTTGTATGTGTTAAACAAGTATATTCTTGGTCATAACGATAGGCATGTTCATCAACCCCCCAGAGGTGAGCTTTTTGTTTCCGTTAGCACCGTCTACATGGAATGAATCAAAATATCTGGTTGTCATTTCATGCACTTTTTGTTAATTATGCTACGGCGTTCATCTCAATTGTTCTTACTTTCTAATTACTCATGAAGAGTGTTATAGTTTCATTTTTGTAATTATCATAGTGTAAAACTTGACTCCCTGAACTATTTCAGTAGGTAATGCATGTAGACATGAATGAGGGTATATTAAGTAGGAATCTTACCCTTTATTTCTGTATTTAGAATGCACAGATTAAGTTACAAAACAGTCGAGTATTTTTCGTTCAACAAGCTATTCACTCAGAGTATGGAGAAATCAAAACAAAAATGCCTCAGTATGACATAATACTTTAATTTTTCACATGAAGGAAGCATTCCCGGGGATAACTTTGTTTGCAAAGAAATGCCCAAAAGCTCCTACCAAGCTCCTCTCAACCTACCTAACACTACTGTGTTAAGTAGTTACACATTACTGAAATACTTCTGTCGTTACTTTCTCAGTCAGAAAAATATTTTTTCGTGTCTTGAACTACTAGTGAAATGTTATCGATTAAGCCAACTTGTCATCCTACACTCACGTAAATGCAAAACCAGTTTTCTCAAAGACAATCCCAAAAACCTGTCGCATATTTATTTCATACCGAGACATTGAGTGTCATACCATGTGTGTTTAAATTACCAGGAAATGGATTTCCATTTATCACTACTATTATTCAGCCCTTCGGTTCCGAATGAAAAAATGGAATTTCACATTATATCTTCATTGTATTAGTAAGTGTGTGTCTTTTTACAAATTTCAAGAAAGACATCTACAATACCATTATTGTATCACGAAAATTCTATATTCCACCTACATCCGGCCCTTTAGGAAAATCGCTCAATTGTCGCAGCTGTGAAAAGATAAGTTCTGTCATAATTTAATCCCTATTTCAAAGTGGGAAACAATTATATCATTATGGAATATCTATACTGTTCTGACAAGCCAACATTAGACTTTTAGCTAAAATATCAACCAGTGTATACGTTAGTCATCGGTAAACTCATAAAAATTTCAGATATCTGTGAATTATAAAAACCACTTTCAGACTTCAGATACAACAATTATCATTTATGTTATTTTTATTATTATTACAATTACCAACAACACTCAAATTTATACTGATATCACCAGAAAAACCTACGTTGCATCTTTTCAGCTGTCAATTCTTTAAAAACACATGAATGTAAGTTAGTTATTTCACTGACTTTTAACCCGAAAATACTGCTTCATTTGACACCAATGTCAAGCATGAAAATTAAAACAACTACCTTAAACCTTTTGTTAACATTTTTTCATAATATTCTAAGGAAATCAGGTTAGATTTGTCATGCAGATTGACAATGCCTATCATAGTACTTAGTAAAAGAAGAGGTTTTACTTATTTACTACTCCGGTGGTAATCATTCATTAACATCTTTTCAGGTGCTGTAAAGCATGTCTATTTGTGGACTCAAGTTACTTTACTATTCCTAATCATTATTCATTTTCTTAACACTGCTGCTTTTAGTGACCGATATAGTACCTGTTTGATGAAATTGTGAAACTGGTAGTTGGAGTCCCATATGTTATTGGATTAACATTCAGTTTTAAAGTTCGCAAGGATATCTTTAATTTCAAACTATATTTTATTGCTTCTCGATACCAGTTAGACAGCCACTGTTGACCAAGAAGAGAAGGATAAATAATCCATCCTATTTAAGCAGGGAGCCCTAAGCTCATGCTCTTACACATAGTGGTACTCGCCAACAAAGTGTGTGTCCCATTGGAGATTTTATCATGCCGCTCAATGCAGGAGGCACAGCTATTACCACTGAGCTACTCCAGCTTACGATTGACTCCAAGTAGGACTTCAAAGAAAAGACTGGTTGGTCAATCTTCAGCCTGGCTTATGACTGCCAATTTGCATAAAACCTATTGATTCCTATCACACAACACATGCTGATTCCAACTTATTTCAATTTTCTACATATTTTTACTAACAATCAATGACTTTGGTTAGTATTTGCTGTCACACTCGATCTACTGGATACCATTGATTAGGTTTTTGATCGGAAATTCTTGATGTCAGCCGCTGAAGAGCAGCGGAGCTAGATTAAATTGTTTATTCAGTGGTTACTTTCAAGGTATATTTTCTCAAGATATTATTCAAGGAAACAAGAACAATTTACTGTAAAAACGATATCAGACGTTGAATGCATAAAAAAATTGGATTTCAAAATCAGTGAAACTCTCCGGATTACTTGGAATTTATTTTCAGATAGGAAACTCATTACATCATTTTCAAGTTTTTACTGCTTACTTTCTTCTCGACCTACAAACAGTTTAATTTAGATGTGAAACAGTATAATTTTTGATCATTTTTCATAGAAATTAAATAAAATTAAATTTTTATATGTTATTCAAAAATAGGTATAGACTTAATTGATGTAGGGAGGTTTTGTGAAATATAACTTTGAAATGCTTCCGTTTCGCAAATAAAATTAAAATTTGTTTGTTTTTTCAGAAAGTTAACAAAGAACTTCAAACTGATATTTTTCGTACGAGCGTACAGAATTACTAGTTTACGAACAGTGCATTGCTTTTATTTTTCATGCTCTTTGTAAACAAACCTCCAGGTTGTTTAACTTCTCATTCTGAAGAACATTGACTGCCAACTGGCACATTGCAATACGTTTTAACTCCATGTTGATTCCAATTATGTAAAGCAAGCGAACGTGAAAAACAGGCTAGTAAATCATGCATCTTGTGTTTCCTGATGCTAAAGATTAATCAAAACGGTAATAATTTCAGCAACTAGTTCAGTATTTCGATCTTGTTTCATACTGTTTCTGATCGCACACTGAATTCCAAGTAAAGCGAACATATTCATTTTGTCACCAAACAATCCATTTTTCATAGAATAAAAGGATTGAAATTGCCACAACCTTTCATATGAAGTAAAATAATATTCTACATAACGATAATAAATATATACATATACAAATACAAATATATACATATAACATGAGCATTATAGTAGAATCGATGAGTGTTTTTATCATAAAAGCCACAGCTGAAACAAACTGTAGCAAATCAAAAGAACGAGCAGCTGATGACTTCTGGTAACCACCATGGACAGCTTCATTATTAAAAGGCTGAAACATGGGTAAAAGACATGAATCACGCTAAAGATTCCATCCTTATTTTGTATTTCAACACAGTTTGGATAATAGACCTCTTCGAAGGGCTGAAATGCCAATGTGTAAGGACAAAGATTATGCAAATGGTACTAACAGTTGTTGTTGAACTATCTTCTTACCAGAGGGTTTTTTATCCACTGTGCTGATTATGTTGATGTTCTAAGTCTTTATGAAGTCTAAACTGTGCCCAACAAGAATGTTTGTATATCAGAACGATCAGCAACAGCAGCTGCCTCTGAGACAAAAAATGGAGAGATACCTGCAGTACAATAGTATCAACACTGTTTAGACACTGAATTTTTCGAAAATCATATATGTATTAGATGGTCTTGATGTAGTCGTTTATATCGATGAAATGTTAATAATAGAGAAGAAATACAATTATGAAAGATAAGGAGGAAATCTGATATGGATATTGAGATCATATTATATATCTTTGCGAAAACGGTTTATGCAATCAATTCGTGATTCAAGTGTTTTAATACCAATCTACCAATCATCTAAAGTAAAATGATACGCTGAATAACTCTTCGCACAGATAAATGGAGTGGTCACACAGTGTTGTAACTATCCTTCCTTAGTGACAAAATTCTGCACCACTGACGCTTGGATCTAGAACGAAACAGAGCTAGTGATGCTTGCAATTATTTCGTATTACTTAGTTTTTTCCAAAAATGTTTCTTCTCAGATGGTAGCTCAATACACAATTCATCTAATCGGTTGTTGGAGGTCACTCAGTTGGTTATTCACTTGGTTCAGTTCACTTAAGTCGAGACAAAATCACAGTCGAATCTGATGTGTTCCATAGCCATACCTCAGACTAATTTACATTTCCATTTTTTACTGGCGTTCCAGGTACTCATCGCTATTTTGCAAAAGCCCATCAGTTATTTAAGCAACGGCTAGTTTACATCATTTATGGCAAGTGATAATTTAAGCGGATAAGCTTGGGACAATATAAAATTCTCAGCATTTATCTGAAACACTCTGAAATATTTTTGGTGTTAAAATGGCAGGAAATGTAACATACTCTCCATATGATACATGGTGAAAATGATTATTGCAAATAGATAAAACTGCAAGAGTAATAAGTTAACTTGAATTAAATGAAGGTTGGATTTTCAAATAAATATTCGAAAATACGCCAAATTCAGCAGGCTAACCAGAGAATATATATTGTGCAAAAATTAAAATAATCTGTCAAAAACTGAATGAACTTACACCTATGTAGTTTTATCAATACTGTTAGTAAATTTATACCACTACAAACTTTCAATCTTTAGCTTTTTAAGTAATGTGATTTAATCACTAAAACTCTATAGTATGACTGTGTATTGGAAATAAGAATATATATACAGTAATTTAATACACAATGTGAGCTGTCATAATCAATGTATTTAAGAATCGTTTTGTACGGCAAAATCCAATGGTATAATATCTCCTGCAGACATACCTAATCCAAAAATACTAATTTGCCAATTTGTGGTGTATTACAAGTGTATGAACGTATAAACTTTCAAAAACGCTTCGTTATGAAGGACGTCTCCGATTATCTGAAAGAAGTTCATGCCTAACTGCATGATGGATAAGATTCTATTCTGATAAATCACACAGTGTTGTACAGTAATATTAACTGATGGCCATATTTTGAGCACGAACTATTGCCAGTCATAATCATATCAAGATACTACTCACACAATTTTCTTGTTTCATTTATTAACATGAGTAAAATTGATTAAACTTTTGAATAAAATCAATATAAGATAAAGTATAGGCTGACTTAGTTAAATGTCTAATAAATCGAGCAATAGTACTAAGTAGTACAAAAGACGACCCAAATAATTCACTGCGTACATACATTAACATAAAACTACACAACAGGGTAGGAGAGAATAAAATTCTAAAAAGTAGAATAAGTAGGTGGAGAGAGGGAGACTGATTACTGAATCTTGGTTCATCGAGTCTACACCCAACACATGCAATAGAAGTGACTCAACAAAAATACCAGAGATATGGAAAATGTTATTGCCAGTGAAATCAGAAGATAATAAATAATGTTAAAATGTATTCAATTCATATTATAACATTCTAAGAAGTTACTTATTTTCACTGTAAGAACCATCTTATTTCCTATCTTAGTGTATTTT